CCCAACCTGGGCGAGGGAGGAACACAGAACATACATATGCAGCTTCCTGAAACTTCTCCACTCTCCTCTCCCCAACTCGACACAGGTCTATCTAGAACATGCAGCCACCAAGGAGGCAAAAGGACCACAGAAGCCACGGTGACCGTGACCTCAGGTCCCTTACCCTCACAGCCAGACGCACCCAGGAGAGACAGTCAAAGTTTGCGTTCTTTAGAAGAAAAGGTGCTTCTGTAAGTCCAAGGTGTATTATTAAGTTCCAAACTGTGCGGCTGATTCCAAAAGCCATGCCTCCTTATAAAATGGAATCGAACAGGAAAACAGACAAATCAAACACGTCACACCCAGCTCTGTGTGTTAAGAGGGAAGATTCACATCTGACACAAAACGAAGATGTGAGAACACTGATTTGCGAGATCCGAGGCCACAGAAGACTCATTTAGCAGAGAAAGAGCTCTGGCGAGGATGGCGTTCCACAGGGCCACTTAACAAAGCAGGTCCAAAAGGGGATGGTTTGGAATGGTGCCGTGAAAAGAAAGGGTAGAGTGTGTGTGTGTAGAGGAACCCTCTCTCTCCCCCAGATCAGGAGTCAGATCTTTGTTGTCCACAACCACTGCAGGGAAAAGCAGGGGAGAAGCCATGAACGTTGTGGGCAGGGAGAAGTCCTATTTTCCTTAGCAGACGCAGACACCTGGCCTCGCCTCACCTCTCCGCAGACCTGCCAGCTTCAGCACAAACACAGCCGGCCTTCCCAACGCTCCGGCTGTCCGGTGGCCAAAGGTGGGGAGCCATTTTACACAACAGCCCAGCTGCCTGCTCAGCGCCACGGTGAAGGCAAACAGCTTCTGGCTGAAGCAGCAGGCTGCGTGGGAGGGGCTTTGGCCCCCCCTCCCCCCTGCCCCCGCCCCCGCCCCAGTCCATACTCTGCCCAGACCCAGAATCTTGAGGTCTTAGGGTTTCCTTGCCATGTAGTTTTATTTTCGGAAGTGGAGACGCCCCACAGTCAAACTTGTAGCCACACATGAAATGGAGCCAGTGTCCTGATGTGGGAAGGCAGAGGCGGGGTGGAAGGAGGCTGGCAGTACAGCAGGAAGAGAAGGACAAGGGAGCAGCATGTGAGGATTCGGGGTGTGCTCCTGGCTACATCTGTGGTTCAGACTTCCACACTTCTTAGGGAAGAGCTCCCACCATCCTCACCGATCTACTTCCAACTGGTGAAGAACAGCAGCTCCAGCTGGACAGTTAACTCCGCACCTAGTACTAGGCTACTGTGCTAAGTGCATCCCATCCTTTCTCTCATTCACCCTCACAGCAGCCCACGGGGCGGACACCAGCTCCATGTGGTGATGGGGAAATCGAATCCGGAGCTGGTGCTCTGACCATTGGGCCGTACTACCCCAAGTGGCTGAGGGTGATGAAAAAAGAGAACCCCCAAACAGAGACCTCACTCTGGGTGAGTAGAGGGAACTGTGAGGTTAAGAGGAAAGTGACGCAAGAAGCAGACCCCAGAGGTAAAGGTCAAATGATGCCAACCTCTGAGGACAAGCCTCAGTACCCACTGCACATTTCTATTTCCTGGCTCTTATTGTGGGTTGTGTGGGGAGGTCCTATCGCTGTAGGCAGTGGGGGTAGGGCTAGTTTCGTAGACTGAGCAGAAGGGAGCTTTTGAGACCATTTGCTTCAACCCATTGGTTTTACAGATGAGAACAAAAGTGACCTGCCCAAGGTTTCAAAGTGAGCTGGGGACAGAGCTGGTGTGAAACCTAACACCAGGTCTCTGAATTTCCAGTCCGGGTCTCTGCCCACGTTTCCCTGAAGCCTCCATTAGGTCCAGGCGACACCATTTCTTGGGAAAGAGAAATCCCCTGCTATTTCCATCAGTGAGGGAGCGTGAGGGGTGAGAGGCAGGGAGCAAAGGGGCATAGGGAGGTGGGGGTAGGAACTTGGCCCTCAATGCAGGCCTAGGATCTGAGAGGAAGGGGGTAGAGGATAGACACGTTCCTGACCTGGCCCTAGCACCGGTTCCCCACTTCACAGCCTGAGACTCTACAACTTGGACATCAGGAAGATGTTTTCCCTCTCAACCCTTTTTGGGGGTGGGTAAGCAGGAGGTCTGAAGGAAAGGCACAAACAACTGAATCAGAGCTGGGAAGTCAGGGTTCCGGGGTGTTGGAAGAGCAGACCAGTTGCTGGTTTGCTGTGGGCATCAGAGGCCCTGCTTGGGGAGGGCAGGCAGTGCAGGCTCAGCCGACACTCAGGGTCCCACAGGGACGAGAGTGGGGGCCAGGGAAGAGGTACGCCCCATCCCCACGCCACCCTGATCGTCTCACTGCCACTGAGGTGGGCTTCCTCTCTCTGGATCCCTGCTAGACCACCCTTCTCAGCATCCTCTGCTCATGAGGTGCTGGTGGCCCCCAGACTCACAACTCCTGGTTTTCAAGGCCCATATCAGGTCCCAAGTGCCAAGTTTATAAATTCCTGGTCTCAAGAGAGAAAGGGAAGTGGTGACTTCATAACAGTCCAAGTAGTTCCCTTAGATCATAGCTTCCCTTAAAAGATATTTTTTGAGATTGTTCTCACCCTTCTTCCTTTCCCACCCAGCTGGGCACGGCAGCAGGTTGTGATGGAAAGTGCGCTGGACTTGAAGCCAAACAGACCTGCCTTCAAACTTACTTCTGATGCTATCCTGCCCCAGGACCCTGGATAGGTCACTTAACCTCTCTGGGGACTAGTTTCCTGGTCATCAGTAAAATTAGGATAATGCTTCTTGCTCTGGTTCTATCATGGGACTTGGAAAAGGACTCTGCAGACTGTAAAATGCTGCACAAACAGATGATGATATTTCTTTATTCCATCCTCTAGCTCTAGAGGGCTTCATCTCTACAGGGACCTTAATCCAGAACTACTGAACAATAATGAATTCAGGAAAACGTAGCTACTGCTTACCCCCCTACACCAGCCCGTTACCAGGACCCTTGTTGGTTTCATGATGGAGATGGAAGAGGACAGGACTAAAGCAAGGGGCCAGGGGCTGTAGTATTGGCTCGGTCTCTGTGATCCTGGGCAAGTCACCCCCTCTCTGGTTCTCTGCTTCCTCACTGTGAAGAAGAGGGCTGGACTGGATGATCTCTAGAGTCATTCCTAACTACACCCAAACATCCCCAGAGTGAGTCATTTCCATTTCATAGCTGGTCACCTAGCACCCATCCCAGGCAGGGGAAGCTCGAATCCGGGTGGGGTGGCAGGTTGGAGATGGTAAGAGACTGAGCAGACACCGGCGTGGCCGTGGGAGCCTCCCATCAGGCTGGTAGTCTGTGCTTCCCTGCAGCCCCAAACCCTGATGCAGCCGAGGCAGATAGCTGAGCACTAAGCAACAGACTGGCAGGGGAGAGACTGCTGGGAGGGGAGAGGAAAACTCCCTAAAGGACGGGTGGGGAGGGCGGGGCCAGCCCACCCTCCGACATTCTTTTCTGCTGCGCCGCCGCCGCCGCCGGGGGCTGGTGAGGAGGAAGTGCAGCCTGGCAGCTCGCTGGCTGGGGCTGCTGGGAACACCAGGAGGGTCTCCCTAAAGCAGGCCAAGGTTGGGCGGGGCACACCTGCGTACCATTCTCACCAGAGCATGTGTTGGGTGTGGTTAACTCTTGCAAGGAGAGGTCAGTTTCTTACTCAGTCAGCTCCAGAGAGAGGATTAAATCAGGAGATTTGCCCCGAGGTCCGTGGGGACCCCAGTGACCAGCTCCCAGAGGAATAAGTACATTTTTTTGTTACAAGCCTCTGGTGGCATGCCCCTGTTCCTACAGCCACCTCTCTTGAGAGTGGCACAGGGGCTGCCTTTCCCAGCTCCTTCCCGACTGCAGAGGGGCAAATACTGTCTATCTGTGTGCAGGGGACGTGGCCCTCAGAACCAGGACACAAAGGTCCCCTAACTACCCCAGGGGAGGTGTGGAGGGGACACTCCCCTTTCCTGCTGCCCTCCTCAGGCTCCCCATTTGCAGAGAGGCTGAGCGTGGCCGGCAGCAGGAGTCCTGGAGCTCCCTGGCCTGGTGTCCTCTCCAGGTGACCGTCCTCTCTGTGGCCTGGCCTTGCCACTGGGTGGGCTGGCGGGGAGGGGGTGAGGCCGGAGGCCCTGGGGCAGGCACCTGATCTCCCCGGGGAAATGGAGAAACACAGGACTCACCCCCCCAAAAGGCCCCAGTGGGCACCCGCCCCTCTTCTCCCCAGCTCTGCCGGAGTTCTCTCCAGTTCAGATACTTATCGCCCCTGAAAAAAAATCAAGACAAGCTAGTCTTTCAGGTAGTTTCGAGGGAGCTCCCACTTTCTCACGGCGACTCAGAACCAAAGTCTGAGAGAATGCGGGCCTGAAGGTTCCTCCTCAAGGGTGGAGATGGGTCCCCGACTCTCACTCAGGGGCTGGGTCCCGAGGTTCTGACCCCGCGGCCGGCCCGCCGCTTCCTCTCCAGTGCAGAAGTGCCAGCAGGTCTTAGCTGAGCTCTCCCTGCCCCACCCCACCGAAGTCCCTTGGCGCGCCCGCATCCTCCCCTCCTCGCGGCCCTGCCACTTGTGAGACCCCACCCCGCTCACAGTCTGCCCTGCCCACCCCAGTTCTCCTTGCCGGGACCTTGAGTTCCCAGAACAGGGGTGCTCCCTTCTCCCTGGCGCCTTCCCCTGCTGCATTCGGAGGGGTTTGGGGTGGGAGTGGACACAAACCCCATCCCAAACCCTCGGTGAAGGAGAGGCCCGGGACGTGTCCCCAGACTCGAGCTCACCAGGCCCCCGTGGCCCCCTGCCCACTCGGCTTCGAAAGAGCCCCCTGAGAAGGTGCCCGCCCCGCCCGCCCCGGCCCTGGCCGAGGAGCCAGCTGGCGGCCGCAGTGCCCATTCTCCTCCCGCCCGAGTCTACCCGGATCGAGCAGTGCCAGTTACCCGGGCCCCCGACCGCGCACGGGGTCCCCAGGGCGAACAGGTGGCCCCGGAGAGGAGCGCGCGGCAGTCGCGCTCACTCACCCAGAAGACGAAGTTAAACCCGAAGAGTAGGTATTTGATGCACTTGGTGCCTCCTTTGACCGGCATGGTGCGGGCTGGACTGGCCGGGGCCGGACTGGTGCGGGACGGGGGCGCGCGCGGCCGGGACGGGCGGGACCGAGATTCGGACAGGAGGTGCTGGCGGCTGCAGGCTGGCCTCCGGGCTGCACTTTTAAAAAGTGCCACTCCTTAGGGCGCACGGCCGGCCGCGGCGCGCATGTGCCGTGGACCCGCCCCCGCCGACCCCGCCTCCGGCCCCACCTGCCCCGCCCCGGCCCGCGCCCCGCCCCAGCCAGGTTCCTGGGGACTCAGGCCCCAGCCCCCCTGCCCCCGAGCCCACCCTTCCTTCTTACCCCTTCTGCCCTCCGCTCAGCCCTCTCCCCACCCAGTTGGCCGTACCCTCCTTCCCGCCATCCTCCCCACCGTCCTGGGGTCTTTCCAGACCGCCACCCCTGCTGCTTTTACCTAGGAGTTATATGGAGGCCTCGCCCTTCCGGTTGTCGCCTTGTTGATTCTGCGCTTTCTGCCCGAGCCCTCTACTGCGGGAGACCTTCCCTGGGTCGCCGGGGGTCGTCCTGTACCCCGGGCTGCGGCCTGCAGAATGAGGGCTCTTCTTGCTTTGGCCTCCATTTGAAGGGAAGCTGTCTGGCTTTATTTCTCCTTGGGTCAGCTCCTTGCAAACCCTCGCTCATCGAGTACACTCTTATTTGGCACGTCATAGGGAGTAGGAAGAATTAGAAGCCTGCGGTCCGAGTGGGAAGATAGGTGGGAGGCTTATGGGAGTAATTCTCAGATACTGATCACGGAGTAAAATACGCCGAGGGTCGGGCAGTCCGAGAGTGCCTCCCGGACTTGTGGTTTAGATGCCCGGAAAGGGGAAGAGATCTCTGCACAGCCCAGCGGGGCACGTGGCATGTGCCGTGTGCCCTCTGGCCTGCTGGCCCTCCCCTCTTCACTTGCGGAAGTTCTGTGGCTCCTTAAACATTCCTTTCCTGTTTCACACCAAAGGATGAGGAGATTCCCCCTTCTTTTGAAGTCCCAAAACCTCTCTATATTTTTTTCAAAATGAAATTTCATTTAGTGTCGTTATTACAAAAGCAAAACCTACTCGTTATGAAACATCAGAAAATATCAATAGGGGCCGCCCGGTGGCGCAGCGGTTAAGTGCACACGCTCCACTGCGGCGGCCCTGCCTGGGATTCCCCGGCTTGAATCCCTGGTGCGCACTGACGCACAGCTTGTCCAGCCATGCTGTGGCAGCCTCCCATATAAAGTGGAGGAAGATAGGCACGGATGTTAGCCCAGGGCCAGTCTTCCTCAGCAAAAAGAGAATTGGCATCAGGTGTTAGCTCAGGGCTAGTCCTCCTCACAAAAAAAAGAAAATATCAATAAACAAAAAGAACAGAACTCAAAATTTCAGCAGTGTAGCTCTTATTTTGCTCTATTATCATCGTTAGATTTGTCTCACTGATTCGTTCGTTCAGAAACATTTTCCAGTAGCCGCTTATGAGAGTATACCCTTAGGGGCAGGAGGTGGTCCTGTTTCTGCACTCCAGGAGCTTGCAGTCCATGGGGGAGGGATTCAGGCAGCCAGACGATGGGATGCGGGTGCTCTGTGGGTCATAGAGATAGGCTTGGGGGTCTGGGGGGCTAAAGGAGGAGCTTCAAACTGGGAAGCAAAGCTGCAGAACCAGAGGGAAGGGTGTTAGAATCACGGGAGAATCTTAGGCAAAGGCTGGAGCTGGGGCTGTCTGGGGTCTGGGCTGGAGCTCACAGCGTGGGGAGGTGTGTGGGGGGTGAAGGTGGGGACCTAGCTAGGGATGAGGTGAGGAGCCCTGTGGTCCTGGACTTTGCACTCTGAGGGGAGGGGCCCCTGAAGGGTCAAGCAGGGCACCGGTTTAATTAGCTGTGTGATTTAGGTGGATCCCTGCCTGCACTTTAGGTAGCTGGGCGGGGCAGGCAGGAGGGGCAGGCAGCAGGCCCCTTGAGGATAAGGACCATTGTGTCTCCAGCACTTGGCTCTGAGCTGCAGGGGATTAGACTGAAAGTTGACGTGTTGTATCTGGGGACCTGCAGTTGGGTAACGTGAGGGAAGCTGCGAGAGATGAGAGGTGAGCTGAGGACGGTGTGGAGATCGGCTAGGAGGCTGTTGAACAGAGAGGAAGAGAAGTGAATTTAAGTGGGGCAATGGGGCAGAGGGTGGAGAGACTGCAGCTGAACCAGAAGAGGGGACAAGGTGTGTGTGTGCGGAGGGGAGGGGGAGACCAGAGTCAGAGCAGCAGGAGCCAGATTATGGAGGACTTCATTCATTTGTTCTTCTTCTAACGTTTCTTGAGAGCCTATGATATGTCATGTACTGTCTGTATGCTGAGATGAAATGACCTCTCTCCTTCATGGAAGAATCTCAGTATAGGCCAGAGAAGTAGCAGCCCACAGGATCTTTTCGAGGGAGATGTGCCTTGGGAACAAGTAGGGGCACAGAGGGCGTCCTCAAGTCTGCCTGAGTCAGGAGAGGCTTCCTAGTGCAGGGGATACGGCAGCAACTGACTTTGAAAGGCGAGGTCAGCTGACAAGGCTGGAGAGGGAATTCCAGGCAGAGGGAACTGCATGTGCAAAGGCACAGATCGTGAAACCACAGGCCGCTGATGGCGCTGGGGAAACTCCAGCAGTGGGTGAGACAGGAAAGGAAGGAAGACGAGGAAGGAAAAGCAGAGAAAACAGGGTTCCCCCTTCAGTTTCCCTAATGTTCAGAGTCGCCAAGCAGAGGATTTTGGTAATGCTTCACCTTAGTCCGTCACCCTGATCCAGTATCCACTGAGGACAGCTGGGGCACCACAGTGTGAGCACTGGGGGGAGGGAGAAAAACAGACAATGTCCCAAACAGACAATGTCCCATTGTGCTGCTCTTGGCGGTCCACCGGTCCTGGGAGAACAGATCTAAGGAAAGAAGAGATTTTATCTCTTGATATTCTCCTCTTTGCCCCCAGCCGCACCATGAACAAGCACAGGTGGGAGGAGTTCAGTAAATATGTAAGCTTACAACAGAAACTGCTCCTGGGTAATTGTGAGTATTGAATGAAGTAATCCACAAGGAGGGCTTAGTACAGCGCCTGCCACAGAAGTGCCCAAGCAATGTGGGCTGTTGTTACTATTATTATCGACACTCAAGAAACAACTGGGGGGGCCTATAGTTAAGCGGCAAATTAACACACTCAAGAGGGTCCTCCTAATGTGAGTGAGGAGACCTGACTTCTCTGCTTGGTCCTGCCCTTTGGTTTATTATGGACAAGTCAGCTCCTCTCTCTGGCCCTCAATCTCCTCACCTGTACAGTGAGCATCATTTTGCGTTAGCAGATGTCAAGGTCCCCTCAATTCTGACATTCTGTGGTGCAATAATCCTCTGGGCCAAAGTGTGTTTGTTACAGGCATTTAGTTCTACAGGCAACCAGGAAAGGGAGAGATGGAAAAAACATGGTTTGCTTTAACTGGAAGGGGAAAATCTGGGTAAGCCCCTGAGTCAGAGATCACATGGAGGCAGTGAGGGCTTCCAGGCTTTGTGGTGCAAGAGTGGGAAAAGTTTTCCTCCCTTCCCTCAGGGTGTCCTGTTTCTGGAACAACCCCCCTCTCCCCCTCCCAGCCCCTATGGTCTCAGGCTGAGGGTCCACTTTGGCTCTTTTGCTCCCCCTGGTGGTAAGATTTCAACATGCAGGGGCTAGGTGAGCTAATGACTGGCCACACCCATCGCCCTGGGGCTGCTCATCCCTCAGCTGTGGGAGGCAACAGGCAGGACCCACACCCCCCAGGCCTCTAAGGCCCTCCCAAGCACCACACCAGTGGCCATTTGGGGCGTGTTTTCTCCTTGATGCTGCTGCAGCATTTGACCCCGCTGACCATCCCTTCTTAATAGACACTTCTCCATCCGTGTCCCTGGTGCTATACCATCTTGGTTCACTCCCTTTCCTTCTGGAAATTTCTGTACTGCTCCTCTTACTAAGCTCAAATGCCACCCCTTCATGAAGCCTTCCTTGAACACTCCAGTCTTTTCCCCCATGGAGGGCCTTGTTGGAATCTCTCTCGTGTGCGACTCATTGAGCTTCATCACGTTCTCTTGTGTGCACACATTTTGGCGGTGAGCTCCTCGAAAGTACGCTTGCATTTGATTAATTCTGTGTTCTGCATAGCACCCGGGCCCTTGTAGGCCCTCTGTCAACGTGTGTGGAAAAACCAAGGGAGTGGCTCTTCCTCGGTAGTCCTTGGCCCCTGCTCCCCTCTCTCAGCTCTCTCACTAAACTCTCCTCCCCTCTTGATCCTCCCTCCATTTGTCTTTGGAACTGACCTCTCCCTAAACTTGTCATGATATCAGAGGGCCTGTTGTCATTTCCACTTTACTGGGCCCCCGAATATGCCCATGTCCCAGTTCCTGAAATCCACGAAGATGCTACCTTACATGGCAAAGGGGATTTTGCGCGTTTGATTCAGTTAAGGGTTTTGAGATGGGGCAGGGAGCCTGGATTATACTGGTGGGCCTGATCTCAAGAGTCCTCCTAAGAAGAGGCGGGAGGATCAGAGCCAGGGAAAGAGAGGTGAAGGTGGAAGCAGAGATCCCCGTGATGCGGGCCACGTGCCGAGGAACGCAGGCAGCCTCCAGAAGCTGGAAATAGCAAGGAAACAGATTCTCCGCTATGGCTGCCAGAAGGAACCAATGCAGCCCTGCCAGCTCATGACTTCTGACCTTCAGAACTGTAGAATAATATGTTATTTTAAGCCACTAAAGTTGTGGTAATTTGTTACAGAAGCAATAGGAAACTAATATACTTATCTCAAAATAAACATCAGTATCAGAATTCCTAATCCGCGAGGGCCTCCCTACCCTGGAAGCCGGCTTCCTTTCTCCTTAGCCCTCCCACTCTCCCACCAGTCAGCACTGAACGTACCTCACCTGTGACTCCTTCTCCCCGGAGTCCCACACCTGCTCCGTGAATGTGGGCCTTGCTTCCTAGTGTCCCCCATGTCGCTGCCGGGAGGCACCAGCGAGGCTGTCCAGTTTGAAGATGAGGAAGCAAGCCTAAGGCAGGAGACAGGGACTTAGTGGCTGAGGAAAGATCAGACTCAGGTCTTCTGATTCCAGCCCCGTGTTAGCTTGTCAGCTCTCATTCCTCCTACCACCACCCAAGATGGGGGCCATGTCTTTGAAACTCTTCTTCAGCCCAAACGAATGTC